TGTAAAAATACTAGGATGAGTTGAGTTTTATTTTAGCACAAAGAAAAAGTAAGCAATAAGCCCCTGTTTGGTCACCATTTTAATTTAATACATTTTTTAATAAAATATTATTAACGTAAACTCAAAACTTTGCCTTACTTTATAATCATACATTTTCCAAAAAAAAAATCCTATTTCAAAAGATATTTTTTCCAAAATCATATTAAAATGAAGTCCAAACAAGGGCTAATTATAATTTCTTAGAAAAAATGTTGAATTGAAAAAATAAAATAAAAATGGAAGTATTCTAGCAAAAGGTTCTTTAATATATGTTATAAAACTTTACATATTTAATCAGTGATTATTTCCTATTTTCGTTGGGCCGTATATTATTTTAAATAAAATTATTATCATATGCATCTAATGAGATTATTAATTTAGTATATTGGATCGAATCAGATAATTATTTTATTATTATTTAAGCAATGTTAATAGTATATTTAGAGCCTGTTTGAATCTCATTTTTCTCCATAATATATTTTAGAATAGTATTTTGATGCAGAATGTGGAGTTAAAAAATAAAGAAATTTTTAGGACTTGCGTGTAATAATAATGTTTTACTGAAGAATATATGATTAAAAATAAGAAAGGAAAAACGTATTTTAAAACTGATGAAGACCAAACAAGAGCTTAACATTCATTTATTCATATTCTACGATATTTGTTATATTTATAAAGATCCCTACTTTACATCATGAAAAACAAAAATGATTTTATGTTCGGTAGGGAAAGCGAAGATGGAGTAAGGGCAGCACAAACGAACTTACATCCAGAAGTTCGCTAACCTGCATGCATCAATCCGTAAAAATCGAAACTAAGATCTTTCTTAAATAACCTCCAATTATACCAATAAATTCTTACCTTGTTACATTTTGCGTTTCGACATAATTATATTCATGCTTATTCGACACTGTTGAGCTCCTTCGTGTGACAAATATTTATTATAGCTGTTGAATATGTTGAACAAGATATGATCAAGAATTAACATTGGAAATGGAATTGAGCTAGGACTCTCAATTTGAAGCCCTAATATAAATTTGTTAACTCAATTTTGTAGGTTAATTAGTAAATGTAAATAGCACGTGGAATTTTTATTTATTTACTATTTTTTTGGGTTGGGTGGGCGAGGTTTTGTGGGGTGGGGGCAACTTAATGATACTGGCTAGCACACGCCAGACAGCAGAGCCGCCAAACTGAACTCCAACTCCACCAAGACATATCATTTCTCTCGGGGCCCACTTTCCACCACAGCCACCCTATACCAATATGTGCTATATTGCAAATTCCCTGGTCATCTCAGCTTAGCCAAGCCAAGCCAGGATCTTTCAATTATTAGCCGGCTTGATATGCATTTGGAGTAGTGCTGTCATTCTCTTGCCCGCCCGGTACACAAAATAAAGAATTGTAAACCAACCAACGGTAGGAACCCATCTGTGGTCGTTGGACATGGGGATATATATATATATATATATATATATATATATATAAACACACACACCCACCCACCAAAATTGCAATCCTGCACTAATAATTTATTGGGAAATAATTAAAATCTATTTTAGAAAGTAATATGGACTTTATGGGGTTATATTCACTTATCAATCTAATTAAGAGGAATAATTGACAATCCTCTTGTAAAATCTTCTAATTTTATGACTAATAGTTCACGCAAACTTCAAACATATCGAATTGTTCGTTAAGATTTTAAAATTTGATACAAAAGTCTTGAAAATCTTAAATGGTTGATCTTGTTATTAAACTTTGTGAAGCTCTTTCTATATTGATTATCACATTTTTAACAATCGAGTTGCAAATAAAGATTAACGAGGATATTCTAGAGGATTTTGATTCATTAATTCTTTTAGAATCAAAATTTGTTAAACTCTGTGTACGGTGAAGGCTTTGAACTCTGATTTCCACTTTGCCCATAATAGGAGGCTACTCCATGATGCGAATGATGTGCTTTGAGAAGTCGATGGTGGTTCATGTCACTTCATTCTCCATCAAGGAAACAAAGTGGTTTATGAGTTAACTTTTCATGCATTTTTATTTCAAGTTTCTTTTTTATGGACTATATTTACAGCTTGATTGGGAGGAATTTTTTATCCAAAAAAAATTAATTTTTTGACCGTTATTTCACTATTCGAGCCGTAATTTTTGACTTCTTCTCTCACAGGTGTACTCCACTTTTCTTCTAACGATCAAAAAATCAATTCTCAAAATCCCTCCCAAACGGGGCCTTATTTCTTTCTATACCAGCTTTTGCTCTGGGAAATATTTATTAATAGTTCGGTGATTGAAATTTAAAAAAATATATTCAAATAGTAAAGAAACAAAAGCAATAGAAAATAATCAATTATTTAAATTTCGTGGATCCAATTTCAAATTAATAAACAACATACATATTTTTAAGTAGCATTTTCTGAAACAAGTAAAAAAAATTAATTTTATCTTAATAACTTACACATCTGGTCAAAAATAAAATAAAATCAACCTGTACATCAGTTAATGTTATATAGTAATATGTTTAAGTCTCTGTTTGCAAATAATTTATGGATGATTTAATTTATAATTAAATAAAGAAACATGATGAATAAGTTGACGGTACTTATAAACTTGAAATAAAATTTTATCATTTATAAATAATTTATAAATTCTGTAAAATGGAGCCTAATTTTGATATATATGAATAAGCCTTCTTTTACAACGTGACGGGATTGAAACTAGATACGTTTCAACAGGCTCAAGCCCCGTTTTAGCCAGCTTAACTCTTTTTTTTTATAGCACATGACAAATTGTTAAGAAAACTCTCTCTCTCTCTCTCTCTCTCTCTCTCTCTCTCTCTCTCTCTCTCTCTCTCTCTCTCTCTATATATATATATATATATATATATATATAATGATGATAGTCGGTGGGGGTGAAGAAGCGTATAGGTCACGAGGAAGAACTGGTACGTTAAATGATGCTGTGGAAAAAAATATATGTAGCACTGAATTTGGTACCAAATTTTTATAGCTTTAGACCATAAATTTACATTTATAGACTCTGAAATTTCTCTATTCATTTACCGTACTACACTCAACTATACAAGTTACAAATGTTTCGGACAATACTCGACTATAAAAGACGATTCACACGTTATTATTATTTTGTACAGTTTAATGTATCAAACGTGTCTATATTTTTAGTGTCGTGTGCGTTTCATAATTTATCATCAAATTTTTAATCTCAAATTATTTTATTTTGACGTCAAATCGATGTCAGATTTCCCACATTTGAATTGTGCAAAGTAATTAGAACACTTGTTGTGCATTTAACTCTCCAAGATGGAGAATTATGGTGGTAATTATTGAGACAGTTAACAAACAAACCACTTCAATTTAATGAGAAAAGACAAAAGTAATTAATTACAATTATTAACACAAACCATTTCTTTTCCAAAGTACAAGTCTTCCTTTATCATTACCATCACATTGTAAAACCCTCTAACCCGAAAGTTAAAACTTTTCGACACAAGACGAGCTTGTCTATTAAATTTTTTTTAATACAACTCTTCACGTACGTATTAGATTCATTCACTGCCATTCTTTTACCCACAGTGAGAAGTCTCGTCTTGTCCATTTTAAAGATAACCTTATTTAAGGTTTTTCTACCACATCAGCAAGTAGGCCCAGAACAATTTCTTAGTTTCATTATTGTTCTAAAACAACCTTCTTTGTGCTAAAGTCTCGTGATCAAGAATTACCCGCGTAAATAGCATGTCAAAAAAAAGGATGAGGCTTCTAGTGACCAATTAGATAATGAGTGATGATAAAATTGGAATATAAATTTTAATGAATATGTCTAAAGTTTAAATGGATAAAAAGAAAATATAATTAGTAAAATGAAATATTCATGAATTAAGTGTGACCGTGCGCATTGGGGTCCCAATTTTGTCATTAGTAATGAACAAGAAATTGTAGGGACAAGGAACATAATAGGGAATGTTAGGGCTACCTTACCCCATTTAGACAAAGAGGTTTAGCTTTTGGCTTCAGACTGTCGGTTAAGTCACCGCTGAGAAAAGAAAAGAAAAATAAATTAAATTAAGAATAATTTATTGTCCCTTTTTGGTCTCTTATGGCCTCTCAGACAGACTTGTCGTTTGATGATTGGTCCATGGCATGACATCTCCCATTAACACCTAAAAAATGGATTAATAAGTCATATAATTCGTATTCACGTTAAGTTAATTTGAATGAATTAGTTTGAATATATTAAATAGTTTAAGCTTTGATGAATATATTCATGTTATTACGATATATATGTATATATTTTCACAAACCATTTTATAGAAATTTCTTAGGTGTTCGATCTTGAATTTGAAAAGACTTGAATTAGGTATGTATGAAGGAGAACACAAAATTTTAAACTTTTAAATGAGTTTATTCAATTCCCTCATGTCTTATTTTTCAAGAGAAAAAGAGTTTAAATAAGCTTGGACGATACTTAAATTTTTCTCTTTTAATTTGATTTAGGATTATTTGGAGTATAGAAATGTGTCGAGTTTAGATTCAACAAGAACATGATTTAAACTTGCACTTCAATTAACAAACAAAATTTGATGTTTTCTTTTCTTATAACTAAACTTGGAATATTTATGTGTTTATCACACAATTCTTGTCTCAATCGAACATTTGAAAAGTGACCATTAAACAGAACATTCTCTGAATAGAAGTCTCTCTCAGTTGCGAGTGGTGGAGGTGGCAGTTTCCCACAAGCTGCTCTTTCTCTCTCCATTTCTTTATCTTTCTCTCTCTCTATATCTATGAATGTATCTATCTGTGTGCCTATTTTGCGCCACCTTTTTTCGCGCCCTAAAACTTTCCCCACAATTCAGCCCACTGTTGATAGCGAGGGGCAATCAAATAAATCTGAGCTAGCTACATGATCTTTCATCATTAGGGTTTCTCGCTCTACTTTTACTTTCTCTCTATATTTCTCTCCTGATTTGGTTGTCTTTATATAATCCCATTTGTTCTCTATTCTTCCATTACTCAGTTTGCCAATCCGGGTTTTCTTTCCTCTCCTTATCCGGATCCGATCCAGTTACAGACAAGGAGAAAACATTAATCCTAGCACTTCTTGTTTCTGTGTACAAGAACTGCTAGGGTTCAAGTTCCGAGAAGCATATATTGTTCTTTCATAATTGCGTTTGTCTTTTAGCTGTCTGAATTTGGTCTTCCTCTAATTTTGGAGCATTATTGGAATATGTATTCATCTCTCTAGTCTAAAATCTCCATTCTCAAAGAAAACTTCTTTCTTGCTGAGACAATTTGGTTTTGCCAGGAAATAATTTAAGGTTTGATCTGAGCTCTCTCTCTCTCTCTCTCTCATATATATATATATATATAGACACACATACAGACACACATCCGTGAGTGTATGCGCGTATGATCTTTGTGCTTCTACCATTGTAAGCTATTAAACCACATTTGTTCTTTAATGAGACCTAATCATCCACAATGAGTGGAGCTGTGATCATTTGTATTTTTCTGTGATTCTATAGTGATATAAATCTCTTAATATAACTATTATAATGCTATTAATTAACATATAATCTTATATTTGCTTTTGAGCCATCCAATGAAAAATTTGTGCTTCATGCTAACTAATATATATTAATCTCATATATTACAAGGATAAATCTTCAACATGTCGCAAATCTTACGTGTGGACTAATTTGAAGATTACTCAATAATTCATGGTCACATCCCTAAAAGAAATTATGTTTGGAAGTTATTTATGTAGTAAAAAATAAGAATAGATTATATATCAGTTCGTAAATCTTAAACAAGAGGTCTATGCAGTTGATCCTCGGTTTAACCATATTACATAATGATTCACAATATTAAAAATTACTCATCTGTTGAGTGTATATATTTTCCGATTTCGCTCCTTAATTTTGTTAACTTACCTTTAAGATATTAATTATTTCTATTGCATAAGCCTGCAACATCTTTTTGACACATAAATGGGACCATTGGATCTGTGAACTTGTGATGCTAAATTGATGAAATTTGAAATAATCAAGAAAAAACCTAAGATCGATTTGATTAGTACAACGAATGTCTTTCAACATCCTGTCTAGTTAAATGTATTAAAAATTAAGCAAAAATGTTGTTACCATTTTAACGATATTCCAAGTCAAACGGTTACCTAAACTTATATTTTAGTGATGCATTCGAGTACTCTTGGTTTCTTTGTACTTTCTCCCTTCATATATATATATATATATATATATCCTTCTGACGTTGCATTTTTTTGTTGGGTGGGTAGTGATATAATTTTAGATTGAATAAAGAATCAATCTGTTCTTTCTTTCCCTACTTCAAATGTTATCACGTTTATTAATTTCTCATATATGTATAACTTGGTATTTCCTGTACAGCTATAAATGATGAATTAATGGGTAAAGAATCCTACATATGTGTTTTTCATTCATAATAATTTTTCCTTTTTATCTTATGTCACTTGATTTATATGATTGCTTATTATCTTTAAAAAACTGAGTCTCTGTATATTTACTATTGCTGATTATGCATTGCAGGTTTCAGATTTGACTCAGGATACTATGAATACTTTTCCACATGTTCCTCCAGGGTTTCGATTCCACCCAACTGATGAAGAACTTGTTGATTATTACCTTAGAAGAAAGGTTACTTCAAGAAGGATCGACTTCAACATTATTAAAGATGTTGATCTGTACAAAATTGAGCCTTGGGATCTTCAAGGTAGGTTGAAGACAACATAAGTAATTCTTTAACAACTTAAGCTTTTACATGAGTAAAATTGTCTTTGCTTTAAAAGGAAATTTTTAAATGATGTGATTCAACAAGGCGTGTAGCAATTCATTTTTATTTTTATTTTTCTTTAATAGAGCTATGCAGAATAGGAGCAGAAGAGCAAAATGACTGGTACTTCTTTAGCCACAAAGACAAGAAATATCCAACTGGAACACGCACAAATAGGGCAACAACAGCAGGATTTTGGAAAGCAACTGGTAGGGACAAGGCCATTTACTCAAAGCACGATCTAATTGGGATGAGGAAGACCCTGGTGTTTTATAAAGGAAGAGCGCCAAATGGTCAAAAATCAGATTATATTATGCATGAATATCGCCTTGAAACAGATGAAAATGGGACTCCACAGGCAAGTATATACATTTATTCTAACATTATATAGGGTTTAGGGTGATCTCCTTCAACTTAGTAGTAGAGTAGGGAGAGGCCTAAGATTCAAGTAGTCCCACTGCCCATTAATGATAACTGTGCACGTATCAAATTTTCGACGAAAAATTAAACCGTACATGTGTGAAAGGCTAGTTTGAAAGATGAAATATATGTATTTACGCCTTAACTTTTTGATATTGTTGTTCAAAAAACACAACCACCACTCTGCAATCTACTTAATCTATGCATGTATTACCAGATATCGACATTAGCACGTCCAGCTTAGCTTTTTTGAGTTATAAACGTGTTTGATTGATAGTATATATTACCGAGTGTTCGAAAAAAGGAAAAAAGATTGAAGTGAAAGTATAATTTGAATTTTACACAGGAAGAAGGTTGGGTTATCTGCAGAGTGTTCAAGAAGAGGATAGCCAGCATGCATAGAGTCAGTGAGCATGACTCGCCAATTTGGTATGACGATCAAGTTTCATTCATGCCGGAAATCGACTCACCGAAACAGCAGAATCTGGATTACCACTATCCTTATAATTCCTCCAAGAAGGAGCTTGATTTACAGTATCAAATGCCACCTGATCTGCACTTTCTGAATCAGCTTCCACTTCTCGAAAGCCCAAAAATGGTGCAGCCACCAACCAGCATGAGTTGCAGCTCAATTTCAACCTATGGCGGCATTCACATAAACAATTTATCACACTCTTTTCAGTCATCAATCCAAAGCCACGATCAGCACAACTTTCACTCAGTTTACAGAAACAGTACTACTGAACAACCTGCAGGAGATCAAATGACGGATTGGCGCGTACTTGACAAGTTTGTCGCGTCCCAACTCAGCCACGAAGAGGATGTTTCTAAGGAAAATGACTATTCCAATGCAGCAGATGCCGCCTTCCATGGAGGCACCGATGAATCCAATATGATGATGATCACACACTTGAACAAGCAAGAAACAGCACCAGAAACTAATGCCTCGACCTCATCCTCCAGTTGTCAAGTTGATCTGTGGAAATGAATCCAATAAAACCAATATGCAAACACTATATATATACTGATCATATAAGCATACAGATGTTGAGGGTAAACATCATTAATTTGTCCAGTTTCTTGTAAATAATAAAGCTAAAATTATATTATAAACTAACTACTGAACCTTGGACTGCCCACCTAGGATTAAGTTAAACGGAATGTTTTAGAGGACTAGATAGAAGAGTGAACAAGATTTTAGCTTCTTTTTCATTTTTAATCCCGTCCCCTTCTATCCACTACAACACACCAAACGTGTCATACAAGTATAACGCATGTAGCCAAGATGTTATTCTTGTAAGATAAGGGCTGTACTTTGCTGCAATAGTTGGAATTGCAGCATTCCAATATGAAATGATCTGATAACCACAGATTCTTTATGTTGTCTATCTGTGGATATTTGAAAATATGTTCAAGTGTTTGTACTGATAAATAGTACTAAAATTATAATATATAAATATCCATTTTGTTTGTAAAAATTATATAGAATTGCCTTTATAATCATGATTTCCTATGTTGAACATGCAAGAAAATGCATTTTTAGATTGAAGAATATCCAAGTTTATTCATTTCTTCTGGGTTGGATTTCCATTGTTTTTTTTTATTTTTTTTATTTTATCATTATTATTTTGTTTAAACTGTAAAGGGGTATTGGGGTTGCTACACTCTTGAAGGTATTTCAGAAAAAAAAAAAAAAAAATGGCTCTTTTCAGCTTTTTACATGAATAACTTTGACACTAATACCATCTGTTGGGGACAGGTACTTCAGATTCAAGGAAACGGTATGGCGTGTTCTGATGGGGACTAGACAGGATTGGGCTGTTGTTGTTCGGTCCAATGGTCTCTAGTGGGAAACATGCCATAAGAAGTCGCTGCTGCCGAGATTTGAGCAAAAAACAGTATTTCTGTTAACATTTTAATAAAAAAGACAATTTTAACTTTAGAATACATTTCATGCGCGCCCCGTTTGGCCCCCATTAATTTTAATTCTATTACATTTCATTTTTTCCTTTTCTATTTTTAACCACACAATCTTCCAAAAAATAATATTATACTTAAATCGAAAATTTTTCATTCTTTTTCAATCACTCATCTTTTAAAAAAACACTATTCCACCTATTTCCATTTCCCCAAAATGGGGGCCAAACGAAATGGCCAGTAGTGTTTGAAGTGTGAAGAGCTCTATTTAATCGTGATATCAATTAGATCAAATTATAAATTAACCACAAATGAATCGATTACATGTATGCAAGTAACAACTTGATTAGCCATTAATTACCTAATAGGGATGCATGAGATTGCTCGAGTAGGGAAGAAAATCGATCTTAGTAATGATTCAGCACCGAGAGTTTTATCAAACTTTATAATTTTTGAGGCATTCTTTGGCTTTACGGTCCACATACCACCAAAATAACGTCACTTCGAAGGTTGGCTTGGTAGTTAGCACAGTGGTTTCCAAAATCTTTTCAAAAAAGATTTTCTGCTTTACATGGAAGTTAAGTTTGTAATAATTCCTACGAAAAATTTAAAGATGAAGATGAATATTGTCCTGTACTGAAAAGATTTCACAGTAAATGGGAAAAAGAAGAATAAGCAACCATGGCACATTGTTTTTAGTTTAAATTAATAAGGTTCCAGCAAATAACTTTTTTGATCTATCAACTTAGGAAATAAGCAAGCTACACTAAAATACAACTTTTTTTTTTTTTTTTTTGCTTATAACTAAGAAAAAATTAACATTCCCAATTATGTATGGAAACAAATGCTTGCTCAGACATAGGTTTAACTAACTTTTAAGTTCAGGCATACATGCTCAGCTGTAACCAGGAACCTTAATTCAGGTGGATTAGACAGTTATGCATGTTATTAAAGAACAAAAATAAGTAAATAGCTTATTATAGTGTTCAATCTTGTTTAGTATTGTGTTCAATCCTAGATGTCACCAACAAGGGTTTTCAGCTTCTTACCATAGAAAACACAACAACAAAGAAATAATTCATAATTAAGCATAATGCAGAATTCTGTCGAGTGCACCTCAGTGAAAACACGAGGGGATGCTCGGCTAAGAATATCGACCCAACTTGCTTACCAAGTGAAAGGAAGCTTATTGCAAGAGCAGGAAAGCTAGTAAACTTCAAAATGAAGGTGACGAAGGATATCATTCATCCCCATATGGATGGGAATGCATGCTTTCACTTATAAATTCACTGCTTTGAAAAATATATGCCTTCAAGTAATTATACTTAAAAAATAATGGAATTTAGAAATAATAAGTTTAAGGACTATTAAGAAGCAAAATACACCTGTATTTGCTCTAAGATGTCAGATCATACTCAACCATTAATCTATGAGCACTTGCCACTTGATGTTGGATAGATGAAATTGTTGTTGAACTTGAAGTCTTGAAAGCAACCAAGAAAATGGTGTAGTAGAAACATGGATTTTTGGGACTATTTCAGAGATGTCATTTAGCTTCAGTATGAACTTTTGCAAACAAAGAAACAGTCATATATGTGTCGTGCGAGTGTGTGTGTGTGGTGGGGGGTGGGGGATGGGGGAGAGAGAGAGAGTGTGTGTGTGGAGTAGGGTTTTTGTCAGTGGTGAAGAAAAGCCCGACAGTCCCTATCAAGCAAATATAGAAAAAACCAACTCCACATGCTGATTGTGGGAATGTTCCTAACTCATTGACCTCAATCTTCGGAAAAACAGAGTGAACAGAATCCTGGAAGATTGAGAGAAATAATAATTGTAGCATGTTTTCAAGAATATAATGTTGTGTGTAAAGGAAGTTAACATCATTAACAGCATGGAAAACTTCACGTGACTATAATCATGTTCCAAGAACACTTCTGTTATGCTTGTTTATATTTTATGGTCTATTCAAAGAATTCTGACCGTTATGGTGCCTATATTGCTGCATTTGATGCCATGGACTGCCCTTTTTCTTGCATTTGCCTGCCAGGCGAGCCTACGTTGCTGAACCAGAATGTAGGCTATGTAGCGATGATATAAGCCACCCACAGCACCATAATCATGACATAGGTATTCTAAATGCAACGACATAAGAAATCACAATATCCAAATGTAATAGCATACTTATACAGATTGAAGAGAGTTAAAGAAAATATAAATTTAGATGATTTGTTAATGTGAATCCAAAAAATTTCTTGACCTAGGTCTAGATTGTTAAGGGATAAAATCCTATGTCGAATAGAGATGAAAATATAGATCAACTTATAAAATTTTGGGCTACTCCTCTTAATAAAGTTGACTTTATAAGATGGAATCTCAAGTCTTAACATAGTATAAGAGCTCATTAAACTCCAACGAACGATTCGATCAGACTGAAACTCAATAAATGAGTATATCGATTATTTTTAATTTCCTATTCTAAAAAAGAAAAAAAAAACTATTTTAAAATACTATTTTCCCAAAAATGAGGCTTAAACAGGCTATAAATTTTTAGTATACTTGGACAAAAATTTATGGAATTTGTGGTTGAAAAAGTGTGTTTCCTATAAAATTTATGGTTAAAATAAATTGTTGAGTTGAATTTAAATTTTAATTAACTATTTTAGTTGAACAAAGGATATTATTTGCTTCTTACTTATTAGTCGGCCTGCCACTAGGGAGACAACACATTCTTTAGTTACTAATTTATAATTTATGTCCCTCTCTTATCCATCCAAGTGGATACTGATCCCCATAGTCAACATAATAACAAGATTTGTTATTTATAATTTATTTCTTTCTAATTTTTAATGAAATTTTAGCTCCCGTTTGATTCCTATTCTTTGGTCACAAAAATGAAAAATATAACCGTTATCCATCACATCAAGTCATCATATTTGACTTTCTATCTTTTATATAGATCCCGTAATAACCATATTTTTTCATTCTCACTCTTAAAAAAGAAATAGGAATCAAACGGGATGTAACTACTTTTAATTTTTTAAGTAAATTTACTTGTTTCTCTCCTATTTGACTTTCCCCCCGCAAATTATGGTCAAAATAGATTCTTAATAGCTTTATCATCTCGAGAAAATCCACCTAATGATTTTGCATCTTTAAAAAGAATACTAGATTAATCAATTCAACAACTAAAATCCAAATTGACAAAAATAATGTAGTTTGCTATTTTTAATTTTAGTACTTCTTAAGTGATGGGAAGATTCTGACTTATAGTCGAGAACATTGGTAGTTGACGGTTGAAAGTGTTGTTCAATTTTCATCAACTGTCACGATCATCCGCCCTTACAAAATGACTGCTCGACGAGCTTCATAAGGTAATCGATTTGAGAGACAACCCCATTGCAAACTCCAATGCCTAAGTTAGTGAAATTATTTATCATAACACCTGTCTCTACGAAGTATCGTCAAAGTTGGCAAAAGTAAAATAAAAGAAAAAGTTATAATCACCAAAGTATGACTTTGGATACATAGTGAATGGTACACGTCTCTAACAAGGCAATCACCTATCTTCAGTAACACTAGATCACATGCACTGAGAAATTTTTGCACAATTCAACATCTCTCTGCAAGATCCCAGATAAACAAGTTACAACTCAAGTAAAAGAAGTGAAAAATGGGATATCCTGAAAGCAAAGACCAGTAGTAACCTAACCCCTCCCTGGCCCGGCCACTCGGTTCCAGTGCTTGCGATTTTCACCAGCTGGAAGTAGTAAAGCTCAGCAGAAAATGGATCACTATGGAAGATATTACCAGCATTGCAACTTGCAGCTTTGAGCAGAATTGTATGGTGGATGCTAAAGAAGAATATTGTGACCTGCAAATAACAAGAGTAATTAAGTAAGACATACACTGAGAGAGAGAGAGGAAGGGAGAAGAGAGATGGTTCTATACTCTTGCATGAGGCTAAGGGCACCACAATAGAGTGCATTATCAGGTACAGGCATTTCTGTTTTGTTACCATCGTCTTCAGGATTGACAATTCTCATGTATGTTTCCTGACCGAGGTACCATCTGTCGAGGTTCTCTGTTCTAAGGTTCCAGACACCAACGTTGTCAAGAGACACAAAAACTGCAGTCCATCCTCCAGCAAAAACCTACATTAAAGTTTACGAAGAAACGTATCATAGATTGTGGAAATGGGATTTTTAACTCATTTATTCAAAAAGTAAAATGATCTAACAAATAGTAGATTTCAAGATCAAAATGCATTGAGAATTAAAAGATTGCTCTGCATCCCCCAGCAGAAATCCATGGCCGCATTAAAAAAAAATAAAAATGGTGAATTAAGGACAGGAAGAGGTTGTAATAAGAATTAAGAGGAAACAAAATAATCCTGTTAATAATGAAAAAAGTAACGATTAAAGAAAAACAGCTCAACACGGGCTAACAACATATTGTCAAGGCCCTAATGTTTCTTTTTGCAAGCTAACCAACAAATCAGAGAAGGTTCGATGTAGAACATACCTGAGTAGTAGAGCGAGATATTGCATCCCACCTATTATATGAACCTCTGTTATTTTCGGTCCATTCACCGTAACCCATGCTGCAGATCATTAATCATGCAATAATTAGATTGGCACGAACGTGCTGCCATCAACCTCTACTCAAAAAATAAACGTCAGGTGCAGACTACTACTAACCCAGCCACAAAGAACGAATAACCATCCATGTGAAAACTCTGTACAACTGTATCATTGTTCTGCAAGATGATTTCTATGAATCCCTTGTATGTAGCATTGATAACAGATCTGTCCATCTTGGGTGGCCTGTCCAGGGGCTTATTCGGAAAATCAAGCTTGTAAGCACCCTTCACATCATATACATCTGCAAGCTTTATTGGTGTATCAGGATTGACAAATGAAATCCCATTAAATGTAGCTCTGAGTTTCCCATCAATCAACGTTGGTGGCAGACTCTTGAGTACATAAACATCAGTTACACTGATTGAACCATAATGGAAGGAACCCTGCGGATTAGGACGAGCTCCACTCGCAGATACATTTTGCCTGACCAGTTTAAAGGAGACACATTAATCAAGACAGATTCTATTGTAACCAATTCTCAAGAGAAAAGGGAAACGTGATTAGAATTTCATGCCAGAATTTAATATCCCACTATTTGTGCTAAATGATAATTTGTCATCTGACTTACTTAAACTTCACTTCATCATAGGGAATGGATTCTATTTTTTTTCTTTTTCATTTTTCTGAGTTTAAACATCTCCTCGTAGCATGCAAGAAAAAGTCATCAAACCATTTCTAACTAAAATATATTTGCATAGACCCAATAGGTTTCCGCTCATAAGAATGGCAGGATCTCAATAGAACAGTAGAAAAGGGAAGGGTAAACCAAAATTAATATGATCATTGTAGTTGCTAAGAGTCTAGTTATTTTAGATCTTCTAGTAGATCAAGAACTGAACCAAAAGGAGAAGAATACCAAATTTATAAGGACCAGGCTTGTTTTATTGTTGTATAAAGAAAAGAGTGATGGACCTGATGGACATGGCCTGGTTCAGTGAAAATGATGTGTCAGAAGCATCATTCGGAGGGTCTGGGAGTGGACCAGCTGCTTTTCCTTGTGAGTTGGAATAATGCAAAATAGCTACACCAGTGACTCTTTGCCAATTTGATTCATTCACAAACCTAGCACTTGCCACAATATAGTAATCACTACTTGCATTCTGATCCATGGTAACCAAAAAAGAGTACGACTGCCCAACATGGATGTCTAAGCTAGTATAGTTTTGTTGCGAGGTGTAATAACCCTCTGTTTCTGCCAGAAGCAAATTATGGTTCTGAATCCGAAAATTTAAGCACGTAGAGACTCCAACATTGTGCACTCGAATTCTGTAAGTTTTGCCTGCATTTTTCGAAATGAGCAAAGTAAGATCAAAAGAATTTAAGACAGCCAAAAATAGAAAATAAAGGTGGCTTAAATGACGACAGACCAAAGGACAAACTACAACAATATCGAAATTTTCACTCATTGGTACCCAAATTAGAAAATCAATACAATCAATTTGAAAGAATTAAATCCAGTATCCAAACAATTTATTTACTTTTCTAAGAACCAAAAGTAATCGGGCTCCATTAAGAAGTTGTGGATACTTAGGTTCTGTTCATTTTGAACATGTCGTGCATAAAAAGGGAGACCTAAAAACAAATTATAGGACATCAAAATACTAAGTAGGAATCCAAGATACCAGATTGTAAGCGAATGCTCTTTTTAGTTGGATAATTAAGGAATTGCAATTCAATTGCCGAAGATATAGTTGACAGAAATGGAAAACAAGGGCTGAAAGAGCACCTAATTATTGTCTGAAATTTCAAGATTTGGTTGACTACGAATACTACACAAAGGAAATAGAATAAAAAGTGTTTCTGCCCTATAGGATTGCCCAGTAATGTTTAAAAACGCGACCTGGATCGACATTGATAGTCTCATAGCCAATGCCATTGGGCACAACTGTCGAGTTGTATCCATAAGGTCCCTTCCCATTTATAAGAACTCCATCCGGCATTCCCAACTCTGTTCCATCATCAAGTCCTTTTCTCATAGCCTAATATTGCACAACAACAGACATAGTTATTGTCAAAGATAGAGGACCTTGTTCAATTATTTCTCTAATCATTTGATTGCATAATTATCTTGAACCATTCCTTTTATTGTTGTGTAACCCAACAAATAAGGTTTTCTCTATGTAATTCTCCAACATGATAGATAAACAATTCGCACTCATTGTTTCATATTACTGTCTCATATTGTTTGTAGTTTCTAATAGGCATAATACAATGAAGAAAAGTACATGGTCAGAAATTTAAATTGATGAGAGAACACCGAACCAGCAAGAATAACTAACCTTGTGGTTGCGAGTATACCAATCACCAATCATGATGACTATATCCTCATCCGGAGTAGTAAAAGGAAGAGGAATAATTTTGCGATTGGTGATAATAAAAGGACCAAATCCACCAGATGCTCTCTGCATGTTAAGTGATGGAAAGTAGAAGAAGCTACCAATCTGATCCTTGACCTGAAACTGGTATGTCCAACTTGATTTTGGAGGAATTGGGCAGTTTGTGCCCAGAACACCATCCTGCCAGGAAGAACGGCGCATCTGGATTCCAGACCTACCATCATACCACAAAAATCAAACCCTCAAGAGAGAGCAAAAAAAAAAAAAAATATTCAAATGCAATTCTGCTAATATCGTAGAGAATAATATACTGTGTATAAAAACATACCAAGTGATCAGGAGATCTTCATCCAATTTGTTCTTAACATTTACCACAACATTGTAATTAGTAGTGACGTTAAGAATGGGACCTGGGAACTTCCCATTAACAGCTATAACCTGAAAATTACAATAGTAAGTGATAAAACATACATTCAAAATCTTATTGAAATGGAAAGGCCTTACCCGCCAACTAGTGGAATTATCAAGCTTGACCAAATACAGAAAAGAAACCATTTCTGCTTCAACTTATTTCCAAATTACTACTCTAAACATAATCAAGTTGAGGCCGCAGAATTAGGAAAATGAATTTGAAACTAAGAGTTGATTAAACTGAATATAACTTGACGGAAATGAAATAAGAAATATCCAAATCTGCAATGCAAGTAGACAGCATTACGTCACAGCAACATTGACCATAAATAACCCCCAAAAAGGGACGCAAAGGAAGAAAATAACTCAATAATCATATGGGTTGTGCTACATATACATCACAACTTACAGATTGGTGTACATATCCATGATGTGGTGAAATATAATTGGATCAAAATTTCTTCAACCAAATAAAACATTCTCCACCCTCCGTTTGACACCATCTATTTGTAAAACTTTATGAAACGCTTTATGTTGACACATCATCTATTTGTAAAACTTTCCGAAACTCCTCATGTACAAGTAGAATTATTCATTTACAACTGTTGTGCCAGGTGTACGTCACAACTCACATTTGATTTGAATCAAACCGTGTGATATTTAAATTTACTACTAATGTGGCCATCATCAACTTCTCAAATATTAAACCATAGTTCCATTTGATTTGAATCAAACCCAACTACAAAAATAACAACTTAGAGAATAACGAGGGCATATGAAAACAGAAAAAAGGAGCAAAAATTAGACCGAAGGGGAGTCACATGACAAGAAGATGAAATCAAACTCAAAAGATTAGCAAAATGCGATACAGAACTGAAAAATCAAGCCGCAAACACAATTATAGGAGATAGAGGCGACCTGTTGAGGGACACCAAGCGGAGAAACAGTAATGTAAGAGAACTCCAACTGGAAATCGGCAAATGGGTCGGCACCAAAACAGAGACCAAATAACAGAGCAATGCAAATCCAACGAAGCAAAGCAAATAATCCCACAAACAAACCCATTATTGAAAATACTTGTATGAATAACAAACAATTGATTTATATAAGTTCCCAAACACTCAACCGTCAGTGGCTCTCTTGTTTCTTACATGACCATAAAATATAGAGTCTCCAAATGCAGAAAAACGCAAGCATACAATGCAGATTGCAAAGGATTCTTCTCAATTTCCTTGCTTGCTCTGATATCCAGGAAATTACTAAGACGGTATTGCAGGAATGAAACGGCTCTGTAGAATTCTCTGCAATTAGCACAAAAACAAATAAAAAACGCTGCTTTGTTTTTATTTTATATTATTATTTCTTCCTAGGAATGTGTGGCGCGATGTTGCTTTTTCCTTAACTTGTTACTGGTTAAACCTGTTGGAGTTTTATTAATAATTAATCCTTTTTTAATACAGCTCAGGGGAAATTGTCTTTACTTACTTCATCTTTGAATAAAAAAAATTTAAATATAAATTTTTTATTAAAAATATTTTTATATATAAATTGTCTTTTTTTACTTTTAATTATAGGATCCGTTTGATTGCAAAAATTGAATTGAATTGCCTAGAAATTATTTTCCTGAGAATTATAAATTATTGTGTTTGATTGGTATAATTTTTCACGTGGAAAATATTGAAATAAAAGTGTTTTTTTGTATTCGTTTGACTTTATTTTACATGAAAATTGTCAATTAAAAGAATATAATTTACTGGTATTGAGAATGAAATTTATTCCTATTGCCAAAAAAAATTCAAAAAATTTATCTATCTTTTAGTATTCGTTTGGCCTTGTTTTACATTAAAATTGTTAATTAAAGGGAAATATTTTTTTACAATAATTTTTAGAATTTGTTTCCATTGTCAAAAAATAAAAAAAATCGAAAAAAATGCTACATTAACCGGGAATTGCAATTCTCACCATTTTGGTGAGAATTGCAATTCTTTGAATTCATGGAAATTGGCTTATGTGACACCAAAGATGGAATTTCATTTCTAAAGAAAAAAAATGGATATCAAACAAAGTTAAATTGGAAGGTGGAATTCTAATTCCATTTTTCATAAAATTCCACCTCCAATCAAACACACCCTTCTATTATCTAAAAATAAATTTTTACACTAGGGTGAACGAGAACGAAATTATTTTTGGAAGTAATAAATATTCAATTTTCGTTGGTTTATTTTTCAAGAAGGACAACGGGTTGTTGTCGGTCATAGCACTAGTTTAGAGATGGGCTCTTCTGCATTCCAACGGTCAGAATTTCACTTGCATCTTGTGGGTCCCATGGCACAGTCAACATGTAGGATGGAACACGTTGCCTCTACTGCAACTCTGCAATGGGCCCTACACTTTCTACCACATTAACGTAATTATTATTATTAATAGATTTTAATAATAATTTCTGTTTGACTTAGGTTTATGAACGATTCAGAAATCATATATTACTTTTGGGTAATGCTGTTGGTACTTCCGGGTGTCCATTTTGGTGTCCAAAATGGATGGACCCCCGGCGCCTCAAGGTTGGCCGAGGCGCCTGTCACGCTGCAGGCGCTGAGTATTCATTTTGGACACCTCGAAGTACCCCAAGCATGGTCCATTACTTTTTTTCCCACATTGAAGAGTTCAAAAATATTGCCCTCGTTTGAGCTCCATTATTTTCGAAAAATATATTTTTAAACAGTGTTTTGATATTATTTCAATCACACATTTTTCAATAAAATAATATTACACGAAATTCAAAACTTTTACTTATTTTTTAACCACACATTTCTCACCAATACACTATTCAAAAAATTTATTTTCTCCCAAAAATGGGGCTCAAACAAGGGCATTATTATTAATTAACATGCTTTTATTTATTATGTATAATTATACTTAATATATATTTTTTCAATATTCTATAATTTACACAATATTTTATGAACTCTAATAAATATAGAATTGTTAGGCACCGTCTGATTCAACAAAATTTTCCCTAAAAAATGGAATTTGGATTCCAACTTTCACAAAAAGGGTGTTTGATAGCTTATATTTACCTTGAAATTGAATTTCTTAGATTTCTTGAAAATTGCATTTTTCATTGTTTTGAAGGAATTTGAATTCTACTGTAGCATTTTTATTTATTTATTTATTTATTTTCTTTCTTTCTTTTTTTTTTTTTGGTAATGGAAACCAATTTTAAAAATTATTGTAAAAAAATATTTCCCTTTAATTGACAAATTTCATGTGAAATAAAGTCAAGCGAACATTAAAACATAGATGATTTTCTTGAAATTTTTTTTTGTTGGCAATGGAAACAAATTTCATTCTCAATATCAGTAAAATATATCCCTTTGATTGATAATTTTTATGTAAAATAAAGTCAAACGAATACCAAAAAATACTTTTATTTTAACATTTTCCACGTGAAAAATTTTACCAATCAAACAAAATAATTTACAATTCTCAAGAAAACAATTTTTAGGTAATTCAATTCCATAAAATTCGATTTCAATTCAATTCAATTTCATCTTTGTAATCAAATGGTCCCTTACTATTTTATTAAGTTGGTAATGAAAAATAATAATGAATGATAACAAGGCAGAATAACATATTTGTATATTTATGCCGAAAATTTTTAAAAATTACAAATAAGAAAAATGGTCGACATAGTATCAATTTTCAAACCTTAAAACTAGAGAATTTTTTAGCATTTTAACAATTATTAAAATGTTGTCAACATAATAATCAAGTGGATTTGCTTTCCAAACTAGCCAATATCTGCCTCATCGACGAAGATAAAATACAAGAAAAAAGATAGAATTATTATGTACAAAATAGATGATAATAATAATAATAATAATAATAATAATAATAATAATAATAATAATAAATTCTTTTCTATTTTTCCGGTTTACAGAATTTGATGTTTTTTTTTTCCAACATAAGAGAAGCAGTATTTTACGCAGATAGGTAGCTCATGAAGGAGTTTGTTGTAGGGCTGGCTGAACAACGAAATCATCAAAATGCAAAATCGAATCAAAACCGTTTTTCTGAAACTTCGGTTTGATTCCACGTGGATCCGTTAGGGTTTTGGTTTTGAACCGATACGGTTTGGTTTAGATTTCAATCTTTGCAAACCCTTTAAAACCGTCGATTCGTTTAAAAAATAAATACTTGAAAATAAAATAGTCTAAATTTTATTAAAACTTAATACATTTAAGTTAAAATATACATCCATATTAGACATAATTTAATTAAAATTAGTTCAACAATTATACATCTTATTAATTAATTAAATCATATCCAAATACTCATCAGCCAACTATTGGTAAACCATATTCATCGATCCTCCATTACAATTGAGCAGACAATTAAGTCTAGATTTTAATTTAAATTTTCACGTTTCATTTCCTTCTACTAATAATTTTGCTCAAATTTTGCCTAAATTCAAGTTAGATTATCCAAATTCTTTTATTTTTTTGGTAATTTTTCTATGTTTTTATTGGTGATTATGTTGTTTTGTTCTAATAATTGCCGAGGACCGTTAAAATAATTCACCAATATTTATATGAAGTAGAAGCATTGGATGATTTACAAAAAATCAGTATCTATGCATTATTGTATTTGAATTTTTTTATTCATTTTCTTTCATTAGTTGTATTATATCATTTTTACTATAATTAATGATTTCATATACTATATTTTTATATTTATGAAGACAATGAATCATGTATTATAATTACAGATAGACACCATTAGTATTAACTAAGAGTTTAAAATATTTATATTATGATATTGCATTACAATGATTATGATTATATAACTTTGATTTGTTATTTTTTTAAAGATATAATTTAACTAATATTTTTTAAACTAATATTTATAATTTAACTAATTTAAACTGTGGTTTTAAACTAAATTAAACTGAAAAAAATGGTTCGGATTGATTTGGTTTAGAAATCGAAGTAATTTGGTTTGGTTTGAAAAAAATTTCAAATCGCTTTAAATTGTTTGATTTGAAAATTTGTTTCAAATTGTTCAAATCAAATCGCGTTCACCCCTAATTTGTTAATGTAAAAAACAACCCACCCCACCCTCGTCGACTTATCTAATGATTGCAAGAATCATGCTGGTACTCTGGCGGACACTCATTTGAAAATGTCAAAAGGGGGGGGGGGGAATGGTTTTTTTACTTATACAATTTATTTAAAGGAATATGCTACTTATATATAATGCAGATCATAAATATAAGAATATTAAAAAATAAATTTAAAAGAACAAAAATAATATATTAACTGGTATATTTCAAATGAACCAATTTGATTCATTTTAAAACAGTGTTTCTTTAACGAATGAGAAAAACGAGAAAAGAAATATAGTTTTTGTTTTATAATAGTTTTAAAAGTAAAAGGAAAAGGAAAACAAATATAGAATAGTAAAATGAAAAATACAAATTTATTTTTGAATGCGAATGGGAAATATTTTGTGAAAAATAAACGTTCTATGATTTTTGAAAATGTCATGGGTGTGTATGTAATAGTCAAATACACGAAGGGATGAGCAATATTATATTTACTCTAAAAACTAATATATGTGTAACTTGCATTAGTAAGAAACTTCAATATTATGATACGCACTCGTTTGTAAAATAATTAAAATTATTTAATATAATCATTTCTTTAGAAATGGAGAAACCTCCATTCTCATGTAACATAACATAGTCAATACAATATCTTTGAGTACATCTTGACAGGATAGAGCATATCACATCATATCTTGCATGCTTCCCTTCTTTGGCGATGCCAATGTGTGTTGGTGTCTAGAAAACCAAACATGTCATTAATTTTATATCAATACTCCAACTTTGCAGGTGATTTGGTTGCAATTACTTTCACATTCCATTTATTAGCTGTTTCAAAAGTACCAATTTTTTTTTTTAAATTAATACTAAATTCTTTGATTTCCATTGAATAAATCAAGAAAAATATCAATATAGCGGCTGTTTGCTCCCCATTCTTTTCCATCCAATTCTCATTTTCAACTTTTGTGGATCCCCCATGTTTGAATTTAGTCGACATTTAATTCCTCATCAGTACTTCCTTCTGACATGTGCACGGAAAAGCCACAAATAAAATGTTGATTTCCATCTATGCCCTTGCCATATATTTTTGTTTAGGATGTTCGAGTGAGACAATGAGGGTAAATTAGTCCATATTCATTTCCAACAGCCCCGTCAGATGCATTCAATTCTGACAATTTGAAGACTCTAATTTTTAAATATTTTTGCTACTGTAGCAAATGAGATGTGAAGAAAAAATTGGAAAAGAATAGAGCTCAAACAGCCGCATAATCTCTCCCTTTGGGAGATCATGTACACAAAATTACAGTTACAGACGAATTGACTCCAGTGTGAGGGCATCCTTGGTGCAGAAGATAGAAGAAGAAAACTTACAAGAAAAACTTCTAAGCAAGAACAAACTTCCTGTCACAGCTTAAAGTAGCTTCATTAGGCACCTCTGCTCCCTCAACCTCTCTGTAACTTTTATGGTAACACGATAATAAACAATTAATTGGAACTTAATGATATATAATTTGATCCTCTCCCGTTTCCTTTTATACTGCACTTGTCTTCTTCCATAACACCAAGGTCTTTAGAAACTCCATGACCTGCATGTATTGAAACAAAAAATCGTTTCTTGAGAGGCTAGAATTCATATGAATGGAGTTCTATCTTCAAAACTTTCATGGATAGTTTTGTAATGTGTTGGATTTTTTACCCAAAGTAAATTGGAATTTATTTGGAAAAATTACTTTTTCCTTTATTACATGCATTTTTATTGGAAAAATATTATTTCCTTCATTCCATGCATTTTTATTGAAATTTTTTTTTCCTTTATTCCACATTATTTTTTATCTTGTTTCCATCTTTGTGATATTTCTAGTGTTTGGCATGCATCTCTATAAATATTAGATTCTTTTCACAAGTTTTGTAATACTGAAATACACAATAAACACAATTATTGTATTTGTTTTCTCCATATTATCAATTAAATAAAATATTTCGTTCATCTGCCAATTAATTCCTTGTCTTATTTCTTGTTGTTTGTTTGCAATCATATAATTCATATCATGTCATATATATTACCTCCATCCATTTTATTTCCCTAACAGTAGTATCAGAGCTATTGGTTGCAATTTATTCAAGGTATTTGTTATTGATGACAACCACAAAGTATGAAATTTGTCGTTGATTTGAAAGACTTTAGAGGTGAAGTGTGATGAAGAAAATTTGGCTTTAATCCTTTGTGGTCGTTGCTCGCTTCGTTTAAAGACACGATATAGTATAATCGTGATACTCTCACCATTTAAGATACGTATAATGACTTTTTTTTCAACAAGATAAAGCATTTGGTTGGATTGATGAAGAAGGCCTTGTTGTTCATGGTGATCGGAGAAGGTGTAAGTCGAGCTCGAATTTCAATAATCAGGTTTGTTATTATTGCAATAAGAAATGACACATTAAGAGGAATTGCAAAAGATTGTAGAACAAATGTAATTTGATTGCAAATCATGAAAAGCAATCAAATAATTCATATGAGACCAACATAGCTAAGAACTATTTGAGTGATGGAGATTTTTTTACCATTTCTATCATGGAATCTAAACCTAACGAGGAGTGAATTTTGGATACACCTTATTCATTCCATATGTGTCCCAATCGAAATTTGTTTGAAACATACGAAATGGCGACACAATATGTTGTTGTCATGAATAACAACGAACTTTATCGAGTAACAGGTATTGGTTGAGTTAGGTTGAAATTGGTGGATGAAACATGTAAAACACTTGATCATGTTGGACATATTTCAGACTTGAAGAAAAATCTCATTTCGTTAAGTACAGTTGATTCAAAATGGTACTCGTTTTTTGGAGGAGGTGAAGTTTTGAGGATTCGACAGGGCGTTCATATTGTATTAGAGGGGCGGAAGAGGTCCTAGTTATATCTTGCAATGTTAGGCAGAATTTGTGAAGAAAAGTTAACAAGGAATTAGTATTATAGTGGAGATTCAGTTTAGTACTATATCTTTGGGATTCGGCTCATGGTCCACTGAAGAATACTACTCAGTTGAGTTTGGAAGATATGGATAATTTCGTTTTGCCACCATTACTTATGGTTCCATTGGATTTGATTGCTAGGAATAGACCCACTGGACTAAGTAGATGTTAATTCAGTTGTACACGCTTTTAGCATTTTTTAAAGAGTTGAAACTAGCCGAGGGCCTTCTATGAAAACATTGGAAGTTGATTCTATTACCGTGTGTGCTTTGACATTGATTGGTAATTCGAATTTTTTCGTTACAGTCAGATATATTTTCTAGTTGGAGAAATTTTAGAGCCTCGTTCATTGCATTGAAATTTGTATTAAAGTAGAGATTGTTGAATTTTTTACCCAAATTAAATTAGGAATTTTTTGGGGAAAATATTATTTCATTCATTACACGTGCTTTTATTGGAAAAAATATTATTTCTTTTATTCCACACGTTTTTATTGAAAAAATATTGTTTCCTTTTAGTTCACATTATTTTTTATTTTATTTCCATATTTGTGGTATTTTTAGAATTTGGCATGCACCCCTATAATACTAGACTTTTTTCACAAGTTTTGTATTACTAAAATATAGAATAATTGTGTAGGCACAATTATTATATATATATATATATATATTATCAATTGAATAAAATATTTCGTTCATCTGCCGATTGATATTTTACCTTTTATCTAGTTGTTTGTTTGCGTTCATATACTTCATATCATATTATATATAATACCTCCATCCATTTTATTTTCGAACAATATGGACTGTACAGTATCAATGTAGAAAAAGGAAATAAATCTTGTTAAGCTGCAAAAATTTGTCCTTTCTCCGTTTTTTTTTTTTGATATCCAGGTGTCCACCTTACAGTGACTAAATCCTGGAGTCTACACCTTAGCCCCTCAAACTGCAGACAGGTTAAACCGCAGGTTGTGCCCCAAACTGACCAGTGCTCAAAAGCACCCCCAACTGATCTGCCAAAGTGCCAAACAAGTCATTTCCCATCTTTGCACCTTACCTTCCAGTAGAGCTCCTGCCTTCCAGGAGAATATCTGCCTTCCAAGAGGCTTTCAGGAATCGAACTCACGACCTCTGATCTGCCAACCTTGAAGCGCCCTCATCTTTGTCGGTTGGGATGTGCCCTGGGGGGCGTCCTTTCTCCTTTTTGCATTTATTTTGGCTCGTTCAAGTCTTGGGGCAAATTCATACTTTCACACCAGCATAAAACAAATTTGTTTATGCAAATATTCCCTTATGAACAAGAAAAATGAAGCAGTCATTCGTAATAACAATAAAGTTAGAAACTGGCAGTACCTCTGATGGATCCCTGAGAGAGTAAAAAGCAGTGGTTTCCTTTGCCACAGAAGAAACCACAATACCATAACCTTATTTACCCTCTCTCAAAACCTATTAACAGGTCATTTAGTTTAAATTTGTATATTAATGTTCGATGAGTAGGAAATTCTAGTCTTGATACGTTACATTACCATAAACACATCTTCATCAGCTAAATCATCTCCGACATATATGGAAAGAACGTCTTCACAGTTAATCATCCCTGCAATACAATGTGCATTATTTTCTATTGATGGTTGACACATATTTTAGGAATTTCTAGAAGATCCTAGAATTGCTTGGCAAGAATATCCTAGAATTGCTTGACAAACAAGAATAATAAAAAAAAATCAGAATTATCTAGAATTCACGAAGAAACTTGGACACCAAAAAAGTTTGTGTAGTTTGAGGGCACATGTAGAATTATTTAGAAGAAATCATATGCTAGCTATGGTCTATAAATAGGGCATGAGTCTCTCATTTATATGTAAGCAAAAAAAGCCATTGTAAGTAAAAGCTATTGTCATTCTAATAAAGTTTATTTCTCCTACCTGCTTTGTCTACTAAATTACTTTCTATCAAAATCTTCCATACTACTAACTTCCAACAAAAAACCAACTATTTTCTACCTCCAAAATTATCCCATACAAAACATATTAAACCATCTAATCAAATCTCATCACTACATGAAAAGCCATCATTTTCAATAAATACTTTGGTAGCAGTCTACAGTCTCGTGAGTATGCCTAAAGTTCACTCACCAAGTGACCCAAGCAGAAACTCAACAGCCTTAACCTTGTCCAAGTTGAGCACTGGTCGGATTTCTAAAACCTAAAACCAAATAAGAATGGATGGAATGAAAATTGTGTAAAGCAAAACTTGAAAAGAGGGAATAAAGTAGTTCCCAAGCTGGATGAGAGGCAATACCTACCACCCATGTGTCAACCGCAGACAAGGATACTGTTTCAAAATTTCTTGGATGTATTGACCAATTGTTGTCCAACTCTGTCGTTAAATCCAGACAGATGAGAAGGGGGATCACCTTTCATCAGTCAAAGAACAATAACACATAAGAAATTTGTTTGGTACGTGACTACGCAATGTTATGCAGGATTTGACAGTTCTATGAACAATGTTTTAACTTCTTTTTCATGTTTTAGCCTCTGTTTGTTTCACATTCTTTTCCCATTTGTTGACACATAAAAATTCAGCTCAAATCGAACGGCCCAAGGAGTGAAGCCCAATTGGAAAATCTCCAAATCAGATAGCCCAAAGTACGAAGCCCAATCAAACAAATCAAGATGAAGGCCCAAATAGGGAGGCCCAAGAACGCGGTAACGCCATCGCCCAAGCTTGCAAGTCGCCCAGAATCTGAGCGAATGGAGTGCCATACAGTCGCCCAGATCTATTACTCTATTCTCGCCCTAACCTTTAAGTCGCCCAAGGTCTTAACAAACATAAAGCGTCGTCGTTATCAAGAAGTGCAGTTATTAAAGCAGCCCTATCACGTTCCACGATTCAAGAAATTCAATCGAAAGCGGTTGAACGACGAAGAGTAATGGCAGCAGTTAAAAACGGCAGTTTTCATGACAAGTTGGCCATTATGAGGAGAGTGGGCAGTTATAGGACGATCAAGCAGTTTTTTAGGCGGTTGATCACAAAGAGATCATCCATGAAGTATAAAAGGGAGAAAAGACATAGAGCAAAAGATCGAATCAAAAACTCTCGAATAGAGAACATGTAATTTTAATTTCCTTAGCTTAGACTTAAACACTTTTTTCAGTAACTCGTGTGCTTGCGCCCCTTGGAGGCACTTTGTTTTTAATTTCCAATTGTAAAGTCATCGCCAATAAAAGAACACCTCTTTTTGGGACTTTGTCTCAAGAGGTTTGTCCCTTACACAATCGTCTGATCCTTTTTAATTGTTAGCAACTAATCCGCGCGAAACAATTTGGCACACCCGGTGGGACAGTGGTGTTTGGTGTTGAAAGTACAAAAGGTGAAACAATATGCCTCAGAGATCCGATAAGGAAGCAGCAAGCTAGGGAGGAATCCAGTCTGTGATTGAGCGATATGAGGAGCAGCATGCCTCTCCACGAACAGATGGATAGAATCAAAGCAGTAAGAGTCGTTACGAACCAATGACGGAATTGAGTCCTCGAACCATGCGTGCATTACTTGGAGAACTCACACAAGACGTTGTTGAACAGGTAAATCTTCGAAATATTCATAATATGG